TTAGTCGCATATGCGAGTGATTTACTCGCAATGTAGAGGGTTGCCATGTAAAACCATCTGGTGTTAGATGGATTTTCTAATGCAAATCATCAGTACAAATTTTGTAATACAAAATATTTGTAATAGAAAATTGGAATAACTTTAAAGACTGTGGTAATTTGCAACTTTTTTTAAAGTTAAAGTTATAAATTATATCTAGAGCAGTTTGAACCATCTAGGAACCATAACTTTGCAGCTTGGATCAGCTAAAATCTACACAAACCCATCTGGTATTATCTGGATTTTCTAATGCAAATCATTGGTAAATGTATTAATGTATTAAAGGGGTCATATGATGCGATTTCATTTTTTCCTTTCTCTTTAGAGTGTTACAATCTCTTGGTGCATAAAGAAGATCTGTAAAGTTGCAAAGACTAAAGTCTCAAATCCAAAGAGATATTCTTTATAAAAGTTAAGAGTTAGCCACACCTACCTAAAACGGCTCGTTCGAACACGCCCCCACATATCTACCACACTATGTGGGAAGATTTGCATAACACCGCCCAAATGTTCACGCAAAGAAAGAAAGCATAACTTTTATTCTCGCTGTAGTATTGTTGACACTGCAGCCATGTCGTGAAGACGCTGTGTGCTTCGTTGTGAAAGCGAAACTACTTTGCTTGGTCTTCCAAAAGAGGACGATATCCGCTTCGTCATCCCTAGAGCTGATCCGTGCTGGTCGCTGAGGAAATACATCAACTTAGTGCTGTGGATCACCGGATCAGCCCTCACCGTTTTCACCGCTCCTTCGCCGGGACCGCCGTTCTCGACCATGTTCTTTTTAGCAGCATCATATTAACCCTTTAATCAAAACCATGAATAACGTTAAATACTGTTCATTTGCAACTTTTTTAAAGAAATGATAAATTATACTTGTCTAGACCAGTTTGGACCATCTAAAGGCCACAAATAAGCATCTTGGACCATCTAAAGGACAAAAATAAGCAGTTTGGACCATCTAAAAACCAAAACTGTGTCATATTAGCTGGATTTTCTGAAGCAAATCATCTGTGCAGATTTTATAATACAAAATCTTAAATCATTTTAAACACTGTGTTAATGCAACTTATTTTTAAAGAAATTATAAATGTTTTGTGTATGTTTTGTAATACTACAGAAAGTTTGATTTTGAATGTCAGCAGCACTATATGCATATGAAACGTGCATGTGTGCATTTTTAATAATAAAAGAATAATTAGGACTCTCACGGTCTGCTTGGTCCGTAGGTGCTGAGTGTGCAGTTCCTGCTCCATTCACAATAGTGTCAGCGATGAGATGGGAGAACTGGGTCACCGACCTCAACAAACCACTGGCGTCTAGAAGAGGAGGAGGAAGAGATTACATCACACTAACACCTGAACCTGTAGCTTACTGATGAGAATGACCGACATCTTACCATCCATATTCCTCAAGTAAGCCGCATGACTGTGCTGCATCTTATCAATGGACGCCAACGTCAACTCAGCACGATTGATCAAATAATCTGCAAGCAGAGATTAGGTATATGTAGAGTAAAAGAAGTGATGGGGATATTCAGAGGTATGAGGAGGAGGAGGGTGAGGAAGGACAGACCTGGGGTGCTGATGCAGCGCACGTGTAGTGGATCGTCCACTTTGGCCACAGCGTCCAGCACGATGCCCTCGGCCTCCACCACAGCGCACTGCAACATACTGAACTGCTCATCCTGCAGCTTCTGCTGCAACAGTCCTAAGTCCTGACTTAACTGTACAGAAAAAACACACAGCAGAAGAACTAATTAAGACCCTCAATAGACACTACAGTAGCTAAACCTGGGCTACATCCCGATGTGCATACTGTTCATCCTATACAAGATTAAACCGTCCCAAATCATAGTATGACTTTAAAAATATATCATATATTTCAACATTATATCAGCTATCAGTCAGCCCACTCTCTAAATATTGACAAAAGTTATATTTTTAACCTTACAGTAGGACTCAACACTCATTACTGTCAGACTTTCAGTATCCTTCATCATTTAAATTAAGATTATAATTTATTTTTAAAGCACATCCACCACAAAATCACCTCTATTTACTTTGAGATCGTTCTGAGGTTAAATACAGATTTAAATCCATAACAAGACAGTTT